GATGGTACGTTCATTGTGGTATCGACATTCCACTTCAATCATCGGCCGAAGCCTATGAAGACTATTCCAACAAAACGGTTTAACATCATCGCTCGGATTTATTGGGTATCAAAAACCCAACAATTTCCATTAATTATTCCAAAAACCTGGCAATCTAACTATTCCAAAATCCAGGCAATTTAACTATTCCAAAATAACTTTGTCATACCCATTAATTCCCCCACTTTCAAAAACCAATAAATCAACTTGGCAATTCTAACCATCTAAATCCCCACAGCATTCCATTAGTTCAATCAGTTTGCCAAAAGATAAATTCTACTAGAAAATACTGCATTTGTCCCAAATTCACAATGAAAGCTCTAATCAACATCCTCCACAAAAAAATAAACAAATAAAATATTAATTGCAAGACAGACCCGAAATTCAGAACTGAAGACTATCGTGCTTATTGTAATTCAGAATTGAAAAACTGAAATAATGGCATAGTACCTGAGCCACGTTTACAACCTGGGTGATGACGAATGGCACTCATATGACGAGAAGGTGGCTGATCAAGATTATCACTAGAGGTACCATATTGTACACCTGGATTAGGAAGGGTCCTCGGCGGTATCTCAGGATGTGTAGGAGTACGAACAGTCTCGATTAAAGGAGCACGGCAAGTGGGAATACTTTCGGTGGTTGACCGAGTCCCAATTTTGCGAGCCAGAGGTAGAGAAGTGTTAGGTGATTGACATGTCTGAGACGGGAGGTGCTGACCTATTAGCTTGCAATGAATGTCGCAACGAAAGAGGGGGTACAAATCTATTAGTGGACAAGCTTTGTTCATATCCTCAAATGGGTTTAAACCATCAGTTGTAAGGCCCAACCTTATGTTTCATGGCTCTGCTGCAAAATTGGGATACATCTTATCAAATTCCTTCCATGAAATTGCGTCTGCTGGATGCCTCATATCACCACCATCAACTCGTCCATTCTTGTGCCATTTCATATCATTGGCAGTATGCATTAACATGTATAACCGCTGTAATCTCGGCTTCAGCGGAAAATAACGCAACACTTATTGAGGAATCTTTTTCTTATCTCCTGAACTGTTCTGATACCTCGGCTCATTACAATGGAGCATTTATCTAACCCTTTATTTTCCTTGTAAAATAGGGCACAATCATATTTACATGCATGGATTTTTTCCTAGCCCAGTCCGAGATCTTTCAGAACTTTATGGGCATGTCAATGAGTAGGAGGTAATCGATTTCCTTTTGGGAGCATCCTCTTCAAGATACCCATGAGCTCATCATAGCATTTGTTGGTCATCAAATTCATCACTTTCAATTGCATCAACTCCACAATCGATGATGTTAGTACAGAGAAATCTTTACAACCAAGGTAAAGTTCTTTTTGTGCATCTTTCAACAACCTTTCGTACTTATTTATCTCTTGCCTACACATATCGACGTCTGATCATCTCCCAATGTATTATCATCAAGTAATACTTCATCTTCTTCAAAAAGATTTTGCCCGTTATGTGTGAGGCATGTGGATACATATCGTTGATTACATCCATTACTTGATCATTATCACGATTAATGTCATCGCTCAAACTCGAGTTGAAAAACAAGTTAGTGGTGGAAGAACCTGACATGGCCCCCAATTGTTCACCATGACGATTCCATTTAGTGTAATTGTATGACATCCCATGCATGATCAAGTGCTGTCAAATTTCACTCACTAGCCTCCAAGAGCAATTATACACTTTTGGCTCGGGCACTCGGAATGACCTCGATGATTGACATGGCTGCTTGCAACTCTTAACAAATTCCTCAATCAATGACAAATATTCAGCACTAGTTCTATCGGGGTTATGTATCCAATTTCTATCCATAGTGTAGGTACTATATATAACCCTACAATGAATATGATACATAAAAATATGTCAACGTAACAAAAATTCAACGTGAAAGGACAATTATGAAATTTATAGATTTATTTAGTTAACTAGGCTAAAAGATGCATGCAGCACACACGAGTTCCAGTCTCCTCCATAATTCCATTTATGGTATAAGTTACATAAAATCCAGTAAGTTGAAGGCATTACTATAAATAGCTAGTTATATTCTCACATATATAAACACATAAATACATCAAAGTACCAACCAAAGTAAACCATTTGTTTATAACATAATGAGGAATACTGTCAAACAACTTGATGATGTGGTGTTTGAATTTACGAACTTACCTTGTTGCAATTTGAATTGAAGAAAGCTCTATTATCTAAAACTCTTTGTACAGCCCCTACAAGATATTTAACTAATAATCAAAACTGTTAACCAAATGGGCTACCTCACTATACTATTCTGTTTAGGTCGTTTGTGCTGTTGGGTCTGTTAAGTTTAATGGGTTGTGGCCTCAATGTTTTTTCAGCCTTACACGTGGCTGACTCTCTGCCCTTGGATTGCAACTGTTCATATTACTTGGTTGACTTGGCTTTTGGGGTTTGGCATTCGAGAGTATTCCATTCCTCTCTTCGTTTCTCTGGTTCCCCCTTTTCTGTGTGAAAGTCTAGTGTTTTCTGCTTTGTACTGTAATCGATCTTAGTGACCCATCAGTCCTAATTCCTTGTGAAATTCTGTATATTGCAAGGCTAGGGATTGATCTTGTGTGGTGTCGGTTCTGTATTGTTGAGGCAAGATTAACACGAAGAAACCAACATTTGTAATATTTATTGAATGTTACTTAGTGGATCTAGAGCTATATCATTTGTGAATGCTCAACGGGTGAGTAGGTCTTTGTGACTAAACATCCGGACCCTACGGGGTGAAAAATCGTGTGATCAAGTCTTGTTTTTACTTTCTGCACTTATATTATTGGATTCTGCTCTTCGCTCCTCTAAATTTGTTGATTTGTGACCTA